ACTTCAGCATCTCTCTCTCTCTCTCTCTCTCTCTCTGTTGCCCTCATTCTTGCCAGCAGTTTTGCAGATTAATTGAAACTTCGAGATGAAATTCGTCCCTTATTTTGACTCAGGAAGGGTGGTTTTCCTGAGGCCTGCAGATTTGTATTTTTTTTTAGTCCTGCAGGTATATAGACCAGCTTAGCATTCGCAATAAGACAGAATCACAGGGGAGGAATCCTTTTGCTCTTTCAATACTTTATTTTGAGCCCTGTCAGTATTATACCTGTATCAAGAGTTGCTATGGGAAGTAGCACAACGAATGCTTTTTGCCTCTTAATTGCCATATCCTGACATTGGCTGCCCACAGGACACGATGACGGAGCCCATGCCATACACAGAGGAGCTGAAGAACATGAAGGATGCTGAGGAGATCACCCAGGCGTACCTCACCCTCAAGGAGACCAACAGGTACCATGCAAGCTGCTGGAGCTTCATGACATATAATAATAAAACCATATCTAGCCACCCAGCCACCCTCCCTGTGAGCGCCGCTGTCGGCTGGCTCTCTTTACTGCACCACGAGGCCCCAGGTGTCGCTGCAAGATCAAATGCTAACAGGAGGTAGCATGTGGACAATAACAGAGGGATGGTCTAAGGACACGGTCTAGACGTCTGTTGGGCAGACGCAGGTTTTTATTTCATCTGTACATTTTTTTGCTTTGTTTGCCTCCCTCACTTTTTGTGTGATTCATTGCCTTCCTGAGCCAGTCTGTTCCTTTTTTAAGCCACCATTTTACAAACCACCCCCCCCACCATGAAATGCTATTCTTCATGCAGAATGGATGGGGCCTTGCCATCATCAGCAGTTACCCCCTCCCCCCTTCAGCACCCCTGTCCATGAGCTGCTTGGCAGACTGTCAGGGAAAAGCTCTGAGCACCTTAAGCGGAGAGCTGAACGCCAAGCTGGGGGCTCAAATTCCCGTCGGGAGTGTGTACGATAGCCCCTCCCCCTCAGCGGCTCACTGACCCACCCCGCTCGCTGTTCCTCTTCCCCTTCTCGTCCAGATCCCCCAAGTTTTTGCGTGAACCCATCGAGGCGAATGATTTCATGAGTAGGCTCAGGTAACAGACTGCAGTGTGTGCCCGCTCTGCACCGGGTGACATGGTCCCGGCTCACGCGGATTGGCCTGACACCTGGCCGTCTCGGGCCCGAGCGTGGCGTCCCCCTTAACACGCATGAAGTGCTGTTAGGATAGCTGACGATGGCTTCCCTCTGCTTCTTAATTAAGAGTCACGCATGTGCTTCTTATTGCCGCGTGATCCTGATGTCCCTGTGTGTGATGGATGAAGGCCAACCACGCGGATCCTGCTGTGAGATGCAGACCTGCCCTGGAGTGCAGCATGTCTGCATGTGCTTGACCTGAGACGGACAGGGCTGGGAGACCCTGCCGGACTGGCAGCTGTGATCGTTTATTACCAAGCCCATGTAGTCACTCCCGCATGTTTCATCACCATTTTTAAAGTCCATCTTATGTATTATAGTTTGTTTGTTGTTGATTTATCATTGACATTCATTCTGTTTAATTTGTCTAGTTAAGTTTTAAGTTAAAATGAATCCATTGTGATCAGAATTGCATTATAAGGAGCTGGTCCAGCGGCTTCCTGCCGTTAGTAGGTGCTGGAGACCCAGCCGGTTCGATCCGGTTGTTGTTCATTTAGCTGCTGGGTCCCTCATGTCTGCTCATCCATCACCCTCATCATCCACCTTTTTATTTTCCATTCTTTTTTCCTTTCTTTTCCTTTTTTGTTTGGTTTGTCAGATCCCCTGCTCCAGACTACCACCAGCTGAATGAGGACGGAGAGCTTTGGCTGGTTTATGAAGGTTTAAAGGAGACCAACAGGTTGACCATGTTTTCTAGGGCTTGTGCACCTTCCTGCCCTGTGTGTGTCTGCGCATGTGTGCAGGGTAAACGGGCATTCCCCCCACCCCCCACCTCCCCCCAACTAACTCTCATGTTCATCTGAGCACATGTTTTATGTTGCAGTTCTCAAGTGCTTTTTAGGTCTTGTGGCCAAACACACATTTGTCCTGGGTCACTGAGGCACTCATAACTCCTTTACCACACACACACACACACACACACACACACACACCTGTCCGACCTTTAACCGGAACAGGGTCACACAGTCAGAGGTCCACACCGTCTGTCCATGAGGGAGACACTCTTCTGTGTACCATTTAGTGATGTCCGTGCTGGAGAGCTCATGTTCTCCTCAGCTTCGATGCATGGCGGTAGCCTCCAGTCAGTGTGGTGGCAGCACTTCTGTAGAAAACCTCACTTCAGTCTGGCTTCTCTGACCAACAAGCTGCTTGAGCAAAGGGTTCATGATTCCGCTCTCAGCCTATCAGAACAGAAAGTCTCAGTTTCCTGTTTGGTAATGAGTGGAGAAGCTCAGGGGCCTGGGTAATGCATGTGGAGTTTATTATTTAATTTGCCTTTCTTGTTCTCCTGCCTGCCTCTCTCCCCCCCCCTGCTCTCTCTCTCTCTCTCTCCTTCTCTCCCTCTTTCTCCTCCTTTCCCCATCCCCAGGCTGCTGGAGTCGCAGATGCAGAGCCAGAGGAGGAGTCATGACAATTTGGTGGAGTCTCTGCGTGGGGAGCTGCAGAGCCTGAAGGAGGAGAACAACCGGCAGCAGCAGCTCCTGGCCCAGAACCTGCAGCTGCCCCCGGAGGCTCGCATTGAGGCCAGCCTGCAGCACGAAATCACACGCCTCACCAACGAGAACCTGGTGGGTACCTGGCTATGCCCCGCCCCTCTGGACTGTGCCCCACCCCCACCAAACCTTACTGCCCTCCATCTACTCCCCGTCTATCCTCTCCCTTACCGCCCCTAGAGGCTCACATTGTATTCTTCATTCCTTGATGATTGACATAGTGTAGAACCTGCTACCAGCCAGATACCTTCATCCGTAAAGCACTTCCCCAGGCCTGTCACTCCTCTCACACCTGCACATCTCTTACCCCCCATATCATCACCTCCTTTCAGTTCTGAACCCCTCCCCCACCTTTGTTTTATTGCCTTTCACCCTTCCTCTAGACCCCTTTTTACTCTTTTACCCTCTATCCTGTTTTTGAGGTATCAGATTCTGCTGCTGTCCATGGACCTCAGCCTGCCAGATGTATATATTTGTACTGAGTGTTGCTGTTTATTTGTATTGAGTGTTGTTTGTGTTTTAATCCTGTAATATTCCATTCCATTTTGTTACCTGTCATGCAATTTCTGAGACTGCCAATCAGATCTCATTTACTGACATGTAGTCGGTTAACTCCTTTTAAACAGGGGTAATTACTCACTGACACAACAGACAAGTGACAGAGTACTCTTAAACTGGAAATAGAGCATTTTTTCACCTTTTAATAAGAATAGTTTAGCAAAATTAGGGAATTAAGGATTATATATTTAATGTATATTGCTGTTAAGCAAGTATAGAAATAATCTGAAGATTTCAGTATACAAACATTTAAATCTAATTTGCTGAAAGAAATATATTAAAGTAAAGCTACTGGTTGGGAGAAGTGATAGAGGTGCTAACGTTTGTTTTTGAGCAGTAGGTCTAGTTCCATAAGATCTTGAATTCAGGCATGAATGCACTGCATGCTGGGTAATGTAGTCCTTTTCTGAGCAGCACTTGAGCCTTTATGGCTGGGTGGCTGTCACTACATTCACAGAGGCATCTTATTTTTCTGGATCTCACCTCACAGGACATGAATGCCGATGACCCAAGCAAATATCGGGAGTCCCGCCTCCTGGTTTTACGGCGAATGATTGTATGTAGGGTTGACGAAGAGATTACAGCACACGAGTGTGTGTGTGTGTGTGTGTGTGCACGGGTGTGTGTGTGTTTGCACATGTGTGGGCGTTAACAGTACTGTATCTGACAGAAGTAGGGACGGTCTATCTATCCATCTGTTACTTGAGGAACTGGGAATTACTAACTTTGGGTGGGGGGGGGGGGG